CCGCTCCCACCCCACAGCCCCCGCGCCCCCTCCCTCCCACGCCTCATCGGAATGACCCTGTCGTCATCGCTGTCGCTGTCGCTCGACGACTCCTCCATCATCATGTCCAAGACCGGCCTCCCGGCCTCACGCAGCTGCTTGGAGTCGGCCAGGTTGGATGACTCGATGGCATCAGATTTGGCTGAAGGAGCCACCGATCCCGTCCCATCAGCTGCCATAGCCACGCCAATCTCGCCCCGCTCGAATGAGTCGGCCACCCCCTCGTACCCAACGATGGGCGAGAGGGCCCCGTTCTCGGCCGCCTGGCGATTGCGCTCGTTGACAGCCATAATGAGCGCCGTCTTGCGCCCGTGCACGCGGATGGAGAAGGTCTTCCTGGGGTTCTCGCCCATCTTCACGAGGAAGCGGGGATCCTTGCTGTTCTTCTGGCCGCCGATGCCGAAGTTGGAGCTGTTCTTGTTTCCTGTAGGGTCCCGTACTCGCCTCAATGCACGCACAACGCCGGTCGGATCAAGTCCACTCGCTGCACTCGCATTCTCCTGTCCGGCCGCCTTGTCCTTGTTCCGCTGAGCCTCATACAGGGCCTGCACACACACACACACACACACCATCGCAGCTTACTCGATTTGTATTTCCTTTGTCTACTGCTTACTGAGTTGACGCACCTTGTAGTCGATCGTAGGGTCGAAGTGCACTTGTGGGCCTTCCAAGGCCGCCTGCCATCCTTTGAGCCGGTTGTCAGGCTCCATCAAGTTGACGCGCTTGGCAATCACACAACGCAAACATTTCTGACATAACACAACAGATACATGTATACATACATACAGACACAGAAAGAGAGAGATACAGAGAAACGAGAGTGCGTTCCTTAGCATGTGCCCACCCTCTTGTCCTCTGAGCTGACCTGGATGCCCTTTGTGCCTCTCTCCACATCCTTGTATGGCACTTTCTCCAGCGGGTACTTGCAGACCAGCGTATTCTTGGCAGAAATCCACTGAATGCTGAATGTCTTGACACCCTGCTGTTTGGCGAGCTGCCGTATCGGCTGCAGATAGGACTGGAAGTGGACCGCCAAGAAATACAGCTGCCTCTCATTGAGACTTCATGATGATAGCTGCCTCTCATTGAGACTTTCTGATCGCTTGCCGGTCCCCTTCCTGGCGTTCTTCACATGCCGCGTCTCTTCAATGTCACCAACTCTTCACCAGCATGATTGCCAGCGGCAGCACTTTCAGCATTCCTCTTCCTTTTCGTGGCCACTCGCCGTGGCTGCTCGTTTCCTCTCTTCTCCTCCCCCTCTCCTTCGGCTGCTGGCCCGGCTGAAGTAAAGTGCCTCTTCAGCACTTTCTCGTATCCCACCAGTAGAGGCAGACCCCTCTCCTTAGCCTGCCTGTTACGCTCCTCAATGACTTGTCGAAGTGCTTCCTCAGCGCCGGTTCTTGATCACCCGGGAAAAAGTGGACCAGCCGGGCAGTGCCAGACGGTACGCCTTCGGCTTTCCCGATGTGTCCCGTCTGGGATAGATGCCCAGGCCTCCACGCGCCCCTGCAGCAGAGGCAAACGAGTGCTCATTCAGAGCGATGTGTGCGTGGAGTGGTTTTGTTACCGTGAGGAAGGCACGAGCGCAAGTCACTGAGGATAGCGTCTGATCTCCTGCTGACTGGCTTCTTGATCTCGGGTCGCGCTTCTGTGGGGCTGCTGGAGTCGTCATCGTCGTCATCACCTGATTCACTGGATGCGCTGGACTCACCGGATGCTTCGGAGGAGCTGTTGCTTTCCTCGCCACTGCTCTCGGAATTCCCCTCTGACTCGGTATCGTTGAATGAGCTCTCGTTCTCGTCGTCGTGTTGGGAGCTCTCAGACTCGGAACTCATACTCCCCGAGAGGTTAACGAACGAACGAACCATCCTCGTCACGAAACCTGTTCACGCCCTAACACAACGGATAGGTCCGTCTCGGCGCGTGTCGAGGCGCCACGACGACAGCGACAGACGCGCCCATCGCCGCCACTTGAGAAGATTGAAAAATGTGGAATCTCTTCCTCATCCTTGGTGCTGCTGCGGTGCTGCCAAGTGAGGCAGCCAGGCGCTTTCTTCAATCGCGAGGATCCGCTGCCTTTGTCGCTCCGCCTGCGAGCGTCAACGCACCACGGAGGCCTGTGTTGCTAAGACGAGCACTGGCAGGTGGGCACCACAGAGGTCGTGGGACGAGCATCCAACACGCAAGCACGTTTGCTTTGTGCTGGGCAGTGCGGTCAAGTGGCGCCTCGACATCACGTCGGGCAATCGATATCACGCCAAAGGCACTGGAGAGGATAGCCGAGCTCCGAGCCAAGAAGCAGAGGGATGGCGATGGGGATCTGGTGCTACGCATGGGAGTCAAGAGCGGCGGCTGCAGCGGCCTTTCCTACACGATGGACCTCATCGATGCCTCCGATGTCGGGCCGCGCGATACCGTGGAGGCCTACGAAGATGAGGGATTCAAGTACGTCGTCGATCCCAAGGCGCTGCTTTATCTATTCGGCATGCAGCTCGACTACTGTGATGACCTCATTGGCGGGGGATTCAGGTAGGCCGCCGCCTGGAGCGCTTTTTGTGATGTATATGTCTGTGTGTGTATCTGTCTGTCTGTCTGTCTGTCTGTCCGTGTGTGTAGGTTCGACAATCCTAACGCCGACAAAAGCTGCGGTTGCGGCATGAGTTTTGGCGTCCCGACGCAGCTTACGGCCATGGCCAAGGAAAAGGACGGCGTACAGAGCCAGCCGGGCAGCTGCACCACCACCAAGAACTAGCTGCAGACACATCGGATGGAGAGAGGGGGCGTATATGGGGCCAGCAGCGCATGCGCTCTGTTGAATGGGTTTAAGACGAGAAGGACAACCCGAGTTTTTCGGTAGTATGTAGCCGGCGGGGTGGGTGGCATATGCAAACGAAGTCGAGAGAGAGAGCCCTGGGTGTTTTATCTTCCTCCTTGTGTGCATACGATGGTCCAAACAAGAGGTCTCTTCTCGACGTGCCAGTTTGACTTTGCCCGTGTCAGAGAGGCACTCGGATGGAAGGGTGAGATTTTCCACGGTGCTGTGTACATTGCCGACCTAGATAGAATGGTACCTGCCCGCCTGTCGTGTCTATCGTGACAGCTGAAGTGACAGTGATCAGACTGATCGGTACGTGAGTGTTGACAACGGATACAGCATTTAACGTTTGTCAAGCGCGCCAATTTCTCTGCTTCATTCACCCACTATGGGTGGACCCAGCTAGTGTCTCGCCCCCATCCCCCGACCAGTGTCCATAAAGGCATCGATAGAAAACGATGCAGTGCACACACGCCAGCATGTGCCTCTCTTCACGCAACATGCACTCACATCCACGTGACACAGCAACTTAACACGCGCAGAGAAGGAGATGACAGACACTTCACCTCACGACCAACAAGCCCTCGTGCGGCACTGCATCATGGCGATCGGGACCCAAACAAAGCACACCTCACCTCGATTAGATCGATGCTCACCCAATCGCCCCGCACCCTCACACACGTCAGGACCCAACAGCAGGGGGAAAAAAAAACCATCAGTCGGCACCAACTCATCACCATGAGAATTGATGGATAAACCACACAACCATCAATGCGGAGCAGCCTCTTCACGCAGCCCCTCGGTCGTCGATCAGCAAAGAAACAACACGCTCACTCGGCGTGAAAAATCTCGCTCCCGTCACCACAACTTGTAAGCAATGACACATCACTCCGGGTGCTTTGCTTGCGTCACCCATCCAGCTCACAATACAATACAACGCAACAGTCAGTAAGCCCCCCAAGCGATACGACAGACACGAAACACACAGGCGAACAACACATGCGCAGCAGCCCTCTTACGACATGCAGCACAAGCATCCACACCATCTCCATAGTCGTCGATCAGCCCCAGCAACCACGAGCTCACGCTGAGTGGACAAAAATCTCGCTCCCAGCACCACAAGCAACGATGCATCCATCACACAGGCACGGATGCTGTTGACATACTTCGTCCAGCTGATAATACAACAGACACAACACAATAAGCCCCCTGCGCGATACATCCCCTGCGCGATACATACGACAGGAGAGGCGAATGACAAGCGCCTCCCTCCCTCCCTCACTCATCCATGGTGGATTTCCGCGAGGCGGTCTCCTCCCCCTGCTTTATCTTCTCCGCGTGCTTGATCTTCTCGGCGTAGTCTTCGAACACCCTGGTGAGGCCGGGGCTCCACACGTCGTATCCGGTGACGCCGCCCAGGTCGAACCACTCGACCTTGGACTCACAGAACACGGCTTCAATGGGGGGATACTTGGACGGGTCGTCGAAACAGCACACAGCTACCGTCACCATACCTGACACACACACACACACAGACAGAGCCAATCGATGCAGAGGTGCCTCCCTGTCTGTCTGTCATCGTGCGGCAGACACACCACACCCCACCCACCTGGCAGATCCGTGGGCGACTCGAACGCGAAGTGCGCCCCGCACTTGCTGCAGAACATGCGGACGTTCCGACAGGTCGTGTGCCAGGTCTCGCACGTCTTGACTTCCGCGGTGCTGGTCAGAGTGAAGTTCTCACGGTCAACGCACATGAACAGGCCCGCCGGAGCACCTGCACAACACAAAGCACACCAAAAAATGAGGCACACAGACGAGACGTATCGCGCACGGGTGAAGAGAGAGCATTGGAACTTACCGAGGCATTTCTGGCACATACGGCAGCAGCAGAGGGTGGGCGGATGAATGGGCTCCGCGTCAGTCATGCGGATCGTGAAGCGCTGTGCCGCACAGGCAGCCGCCCTCAACCAGTTCACTCATCGCGGCAGTCAGCAAAGATCAACGACACGGATTCCCCCCTGGGATGACGCAAAACCTACACGGACCTCGTTCGTGCTTTCCCTGATGGGGGGTGGTTAAGGGTAAGAATTTTTCCGTCAAAGCATGCTCAGCTCGCAAACAAATCGGGACGCGTCATTAAAGCCACCGCCAGCGCCGCCAGGATGTCTGGCTTCGGGCGTGGCC